TAGAATACCTTGTTATAGTGAGGTTACACGAAGATTGATGCCTTTTAGATACCAACGCTTTCTTCCTGCAATACTCACACATTTCAGATTCTACCATGACTATATCTATTCAACTCACAAAACAAATACTGCAGCACAGCAACAAGCTACTGGCTGAAGTAATCCTTTGCTATGAATTAACTGGACTGTTCTTAATAGTGTCTCAAAACCAACCCCACCCATTCAAGATGCTGTGCGTGAACTTGTACCCCCACATTAACAGCACTGTGCTATGCATAGCAGAATTTTTGGGAATCTGAAACTTCTTAGGATTGGTTGATTTTACACTAAACTATCACCCAATCACCTCAGAGCCAGACTGGACCTCTTCTGCAGACGGATGAGACTCATCAAGTGTTGTGGATTCACTGCTGTGCTCTGACATACCTGAAAACCAAATAGGTTTGGCATGCATTAATTGAAGTGAAAGGGGCTGGATGTTGCACCTCACAGAAACCAAAGCAGGCTTACAGAAAACATTTCTTTTATAAGTTCTGCTAAATCAAAGCAAAACCTCCTTCTTTTGATGGTGACCAGGTCTTTAGCTCTCCAAAAATCTAAGAGATTAGGAATACAGTCTAGTGTAAACTTCCACTGCCAAAGCAACCTTTCCCCACAGACAACTAAGCTTGCAACATAAAACCCTGGAAGTCAAACAAGGTTCTTCAGCTGATATATGCACTGCCACCTGCAACAATACACTGACTGTATCCTACCATTGCAAAGATCACCATTTTGTTAAGACATAAGATTTATCCAAACATTGCATGATTATATTGATGCTAAGCCACTGAAACTTTTTAAGCTGTTAAGCCTGTTGTGTTTACTAGAAACAGAATCCCCCTCATTTTAGCCTCCAAAAGATCTCGGCTACAGAGGCAAAGAAAGTTAACGCTGAGCACATGCACAAGAAATCAGCTATGTGAATACAGCCATCATGAAAGATGAAAGAGATACACAATTTTAGCTTAAGTAAGGAAAAGTATCTAAATTTGATTCCAGGTAGCTGGTAACTACAGGTGACACCACAATTCACTCAGCTGTTTGAAAGGAGGAGACAACCAATCATTAAAAATTAATCAATCTGCCAGTATTGTATATAATCACACATGACTTCAGTTCATTAAATCTTGCACCATTTCATACATGTTCAGACATACACCAGATTAGGAAAAATTATCAAGATATTATTATTATTTGTGTTTATATTGTATTTCAAATTCCTGAGCTATAAAACATTCTAATTAAAGCAAATAATTAATAAGGTAAGCAGCTCACATAGCAAGGGAAATAAAATAAGGGCACAAAGGCTGAGAAACTGACTCACCTAGATCACCTATATCATATTACACGGGATAACCTATTACTTTATTTTGGAAAACTAAATACGTAAAGTAAGAGATTTTCTCCAGAAAAACAGTTCATTCAGGGCTATCACTGAATGAAGGTGGATTTTTCCAGGATTGATATAAAATTCCTTTTGAAGTAATTAAGAAATAAGTTTAAAATCCTAATGCAGCTTTCTTAATTTTTCATATTTCTTTGGGACATGTAAGTCTGTACAGCAGAGATGCTATCTGCCCACATGGTCCTGTCCAAACTCTACTTGTGGCTGAAAACAACCTCTGTGCTTAACAGCTTATTTCTGACTAGCTAAAACAATTACATTATAGAGGAGGAGAATAAGTGTGATTTCCTTGCTCGAAAAGGAAACAAAAAGCTTGTTTTTGTTCATCTTGTAGTAGAGCCTTCACTAAGACAATCTGTTCTTCAGTTCTACCACACCAGAGCTTCCAGACTTATATTTGTACATCACATACAAGCCTATGTACCGTGGTAACACTGTTCTAAACTATTAAATGCTACAGGCAAAAACATTTTTGACAGATTTAAGAACTCAGGGGCAAGAACCATCTCACAAATCCATGTAGAAAACACTACATAAAGGCAAATAATTTTTTAAAAGCCAAATGAATTCACCATTTGTGTTACAACACCCCTCCATGATCAATTTTTTGTAGTGTTCTTTTCCTACAAGCAGTGCTAAAAGTTTCAACACAGCTCTACAGGATCACAATGATCAACTTTAAAACATGACAAGGAGGAAAAAATGTAGATTAAAGGCAGCTTTCATAGAAAGTTCAACTGCTGTATCAAATTTAACTACAGAATTTCCTGATTACTGCTTCTACAGAAAAGAAAAGGAATGTAAACATCAAATACTGGATGCAAGGATGAAAACTTTCTACACCTCCACCAAGATTCAGAAATGAAGACACTCATGTGAAATTGTGGTAATCAAGACATTTACATACACATATCATTTAAGGTTCCACTACAGAAATGCATACAGACTTTTGCATCTCTGTAGTTCCTGCAGATGCCAGACAAAGGGCTGTTCTTTATAAGAGGTCGCTAATCCCCAGTACAGGATGGATTGTGCTATCCAGGGCTTGGTTTGTCTCTTCACTAAAGCAGCCACAACTTCAGAACACATCAGGTGACTGGTGTCCCAGGACATTTGCTACCACCTGCTGCAAGAGAACAACTCAAAAACATGCTTGATCCATATTCTGACAAGAACTGAAACCCTGTCCATATCACTCCTGTCCTTCTGGGTTCTCTTCTACCCCACTATACAAGTTCTGCAAATCCACACAAATACTGCATCACAGTAGGACAGAAGGCACAGACTAGACTAAGAATCATTCCCACCATGGTGAAGCTACCTTAAATGCATATTGAATTACAGCCTCAGTAATTTTAAGCTTTGCTCACCATAAATAAAACCATATGATTTTTGAGTCCTGAGGATTTATATATCACTTCTTCAACTGGAAAAGTAAAAAGCAAATCAGCTTATGAACAACATAGTAAGCTTCCTCTAGAATGGAGACATATAAAGATATTTAACCATTTATAATTAATGGTTTTAAGAGCATATTTATGTACTTTTCATAAAAAAGGCAAATTCATATTTGCTTATTCATGAAACTATGAAGTAAATGTCATCAACAATAAATTAACTTATACTAAGAAGTGTATTCCTCACATATTTACATCACATAAGTAAATGATTTATGGTCTCAGAAAGAAGAACCATGGGATTCTCAACAATCAGATCTGCTTTCCTAAGCAAGATGCACTGGTTCCTTCAATTACTTTTCTCCTAAATTAATTGCCAATAAGGCAACAGCAAGATATCTTCTGTCTAAAATGAAGTTTATTACACACTTTTATTGCTGTCTTACTGTATAAAGAATGAAAATTTTTGTAATATTGCACAAAATCCAAGTGCTGGTGGAAAAATGATCATTTTATGGATGTCTTCTTAATTTCAATTTATAACTAAGAACACTTTCACTAATTCTTGTCAACATAGAGATCAACCACTTTTTAAAAAAGATTGTAAAAATCTGTATTAAACACTTCCTGCTGCAATCACACCATAGCTTCCTCTTAATGCTCTTGAATTCCCTGGCTGCTCCACTTGCAAGATCTAATTATGCTTGGGAGTTAGAAAACATGATAGAGACAAAGACTGGAGAACAGGGCTGCTGCTGACTTTCACACTCCCCATGCTACATCAACCCGGCCCTGAACACTTTAATGCTCTGCTCATCTCCAGATTAACTAAACCATGGGCTCCCATTATGGTTTCAACTTCTACCAAATAAGAAAAAAACAGCTGATCAAGCTACTGCCTCAGCTTCCAATTTTTGCAATCTAACACTCCTCTGTGTTTCTTATTCCTGACATTTTAACTATGTGTGTACATACATACATACATACACACATATGTAAACATACACACGATTCCGAAAGTTTTGGAGTTGCACTGATCAAATAACATCCTTCTCCAGCCCTGCAAAAAGAACCCTTCTGTTATCTTCTCTAGAGAATCAACTCTTAGGTAACAGAGCCACCGACTGCAAAGTGATAACTCCTTGCTACCTTTTCCACCAAGCATAAAAAGCACACGTGACAAACTGAAACTAAATCCTGGGATGGATGTTCAGAATGATCCCCTCCAAAGGCATTCATGCAAGATGAAAGGCTATTAGGGGGGTTCGATTAAAAATAACCTATTAAAGAGGTACATAAGAAATACTGGAAGATCTGTCTAGTTCGGAGACAGTACCACATGCAACACCTGCCTGTCACACAACACCAAAGCGTTTCCACGCTTTAAGAACACTAAGCAAAACATAAATTGGCACGCTTAAAACAGTAATTGCCAGGGTGTGGAATAACTCCCAGGGGCACAAAATTTACAAAGCATCTACAGTTCTCCTCCTCCACCAACACACCGCTTCCCTTTCTCTCTCCTGGAACCCGCCTGCCCTCGAGCTCGGGCGATGCCCACCCTGTCCAGCCGCCCAGCACCCCCGGAGCGGGGCGTACAAGCCGGGCCGACCCCGACCCGCTGGGCACCGCCGGTGCCGCGGCGGAGCCCGGGGAAGGGCGGCCGCTCCCGCGGGGTGACACGTCGGACGGGACGGAGCGGGAGGCGCGGCCCGGCCCTCCCCGAACCCGGGCCCAGCGGCTGCCCCGGCCCGGCCCGGCAAGTCCCTCACCTGCCGGCGGCGCCGCTGCGGCCCCGGGGGCGTCGTGCTGCGGGGGACGGGAGGGCAGGACGGAGGGTGGGAAGGGGGTACGGAGGAGGCCGGGCAGGGCAGCGCGGCGGCCCCTCTCAAGCTTTATTTTCTTCCTTCTCCGGCGGCGGCAGGAGCCGGAAGCGCAGGGCCGGAAAGGGGATGACGGCGGCGGCCTCTCTAGGCCGTCATGTCTATGGTAGCAGCCATGGCAACCACCGCGGCACCGCCCGGGAGGCTGCTCCGGCCCCGAGTGCCGTGCCTTGAGATCGGGCCGCCGGCTGGGAGAGCAGCCGGAGCGGCAGAGACGGAGCCTGGCCGGCTGTGGGCGCGGATGAGCGCGCCTGGGAGACGCTGCTCGGTGCCATGGCAGAGGCTCTGCCCGAGCCCACAGTGAGGAGGAAAAAAAGCATATCCATCGAGGAGAAAATCGACATCATAAGCGCTGTGGAAAGCGGCAAGAAGAAGGCGGACGTTGCAGCCCAGTACGGCATCAAGAGGAACTCCCTGTCTTCGATTATGAAGAATAAGGAAAAAGTTTTGGAAGCCTTTGAAACTTTACGGTTTGATCCTAAAAGGAAAAGACTGAGGACTGCTTTTTATGCCGACCTGGAGGAGGCATTGATGAAGTGGTACAGAATTGCACAGTGCTTGAATATGCCGGTCAATGGCCCTATGTTGCGCCTCAAGGCGAATGATTTTGCCCAGAAGCTTGGACACAGTGATTTTAAATGCAGCAATGGTTGGCTCGATCGTTTCAAGTCGAGGTATGGTTTAGTTTTCAGAGCTCAGCCTGTAGAAGCAGCTGCTACTCCTACAGTGGGTGCTCCAACTCCTTGGTGCCAGAATGTGCTTCCTTATTATTTAAATGATTATCGGCCAAAAAATGTGTTTTACATGCAGGAGACTGTGTTGTTGTATCAGATGTTACCACATAGCACGTTTGCATTTAAAGGGAAAACTTGTTCTGTGGGTAAACAAAGCAAAGAGAGCATCACTGTAGCGGTGGGTACAAATATGGATGGTTCTGAGAAACTCCCACTCCTCATTGTAGGAAAAAGTCCATGCTCTTTCAAAGATGTGAAATTGCTGCCAGTGGATTATGAAGCAAATGACAGGGCTTGCATGACTTCAGGAATCTTTGAACAGTGGATGCATAAACTTGATAACAGATTTCAAGCACAGCAGCGCCGTGTGGTTATTCTTGTTGATTCTCTCCCAGCTCACATAGAAGTAAAGAACCTGAAGTCTGTCAAATTAGCGTTCTTTCCTCCAGACTCCTCTTCATATATAGCTGTGAAAGAAAGGATTATCAGAAGTCTGAAGGTTAAATACAGGCACTGTCTTATCAAGAGATTTGTTGACTGTGTGGAAAGTAATAAAGAGTTTATGCTGACCCTTCTTGATGCAATTGAGATGCTGTACCTGTGCTGGAGGGAAGTAACACCAGAGACTATTGTAAAAAGTTACAATGGAGCAACTTTCAAATTAGAAACTGAGACAAATGATAACAACAATGAGGTTGAAAGTGATTTTGATTTGATTGCACGTGCAAGGGCAGCTGGAGTAGAGTTTCCAGAAGGTTTGTCTTTGGATGAATATGCAGCTCTAGATAGTGGTTCGGAAACTTATGAAGTACCCACAAATAATGAAAGGATGTGTGCCAAAGAAAGTGCATCAGATAAAGCTGAGACATTTGTTGGTGATGAAGTTAAGGATGAAGGCAGTCGACTTCAGGGAGCTGAACAGCTTTTACCATCCAAAAATGAGGCTTTGAGTGCTTTAGATACCCTTCGAAAGTTTCTCGGAAGTCAAGAGACAGATGATTCTCTCTATGATTCCTTAGCTGACTTGGAGAATTTTATTCAACATGTAGTATGTGAATAAATATTTTAGCAAAGTGGGAAAGCATGTAATTGGAAAAAAAAGAAATATTATCAAAGACAGGCAGTTTAATAACAAGCATTGCTTAAATGTTCTCTGGTGTGTTTTGCTCAGGTGCCTAGATGAACATAACAAAACTGAAAAAGGGCTATGAACTGAAATTTTCCACAAAATCAGGAGCAAATAACACATATTTGAGGTAGAGGGAGTAAGCTGAACCTTTAAGATGCTAACTGTAGTAAGTACAGTGAAGGCAAAAGAAATTCTTTGAGCAGTTTGGTGCGCTCAGGATAAACTGTTGACCACCTGGAATTCTTTCTTCAAGAAGAGACTAGCACTTTCATGCATCAATAATTTCACTGTCATTTTGGGGGTTTTCACAGTGGAGTAGTAAATATTTATGACCTTGGTGCTTTTGATACATAAACACAAAATTGAATAACACAGAAAATACTTGCTTAAATTCTGAGAAGTAAGGCATTTTAAAAAGAAATATTTTTCTTCCTTCATCAAGAATTCTGGCTATCATTTACTCTTGCAGTGGGTGATGAACAGCAGAAAGTTACCACAGCTTTGAATGTGTTTTTTTTGTTTTCTTAAAATCTCTCATATGTGGATACACTTGAATGGCATAATAATTTATCCAAGAGTCAAAAGACAAACAAACCTTTACTTGGTCTTTGAAGAGGTAAAAAAAGGAAGGTCATTCTCTCCTTTTCAGCCTTTTTGGTGCATAGTTTGATGTAGGTCTTACTGTGCACCTCCATGTATTTCTACAGTAAATTCAGAAAAAAACCCCAACAGTATCTGCAGTAAAAACCTCACTGAGCTCTTGTTTAATTTTCAATACTTGGAGGCTTTGCTGTAGGATTCAATGCACTAATGTGGTTTGTCACTACAAGCCCTATTAACAAGGGTGCTGTTTGCATGATTTCAGTGTGAAGTTCTGTAAGTCGTGGTACATTTGCATGTCTTTGAGTATGCATTTCAAACAATGTAATCATATCAGAGCCAAAACCCTTAATGTATATGACCTTCTGGCTTTTTTCAGAACCTGTTTTAAATCTATTCCATATCTATAAATTAATTTTTTTTTCAGAAGTTGGAGATACTTATTTTTCTAATTTAGATGAAGAAGCCAATGGACGCCCTTTCAGAAGCCTGTAATAAAAAATCTATTATGCTGCCTGTAATGAAACCATGAGAAAAAAATTTCATGCATTTGTGAATCTTCAGTTTTAAATAAATAGTTTGGCTACATCTTTGTTCACTTTTTTTCTGGTATAGGACAGTTTATCCATTTATGAAATAATTTAAGAAAATGTATCAGATTGTTGAAAGACAGTGAAAATATTAGAGTTGGTGAGAAAAATCTTTTGGCTGTATGAACATTTTACTAGAACCCCTTCCAAAAAAAACCCCACAAATGTCTGGTTTCTTGTTATGAGATATATTATGTGAATTCTATCCAAAGGATATTCTGATTAAATAAGAAATTTCTATTGAAATCCCAATAAATAAAGATCTACATGGAGATTTATGGATTCCGTGAAAAAGTACTCCTCTGAATTATCTCTTCAAGGTATTTATTATTTTAAAATACAGATGCAAAATCTTTTAAATTATCAATCTGTGTCACATTCTGCTTGCTTAAATACTTTAGAACAAGCTTATGAAAAATACTTTCTATTCTGACCAAGTTTATTTGAAGTTCATCTAAATCCCACAGACATCTGTAGATAATTTTCTTATAGTAATCTTTTGATTTCAAATATATTTCTTTGCAACAACTTCTCCTGCTAAAGGCAAGTTTAAGGAAAATTTTCTCTTATCCATATAGTAAATGTGTAATTTGTTATGATTTGACTCCATGTGGCCCGCACTGGCCTGGTTTCCAGATAAAGAAACTCTGTTTCCTCCTGAGAGAATTCAGAGTGTGAAAGTGTTGGATCTGAATTAGAAAGACTCACATGTGTAAGCAGCAAATCGTGGTTTAACAAGGGTTCACTATGCAAGAAGCGTAACTTTTGCAAGAAGAGGCTTAGAAAATCAGGAGATGGGAAATAACATCGTTAGCTGGAAAGGAAGGAAATTAATTGCTGAGTGTTGTCATACTCCCTCATGAAAACAACAGGAAGGATTTACTGATTTGGACTAGACTTTGAAGGTGAGTTGTGGAACTTGCTTTGAAAAACATACAGCCCGTCAAAATCCTGTATCTTTAGAGAATATAGGACTTTTTCCTAGTGTCCTAGCTCATTCTGAGAAACCAAGCTAAAATGCACACACTGAAACTGGTTCTGAAAGTCAGACACTAAATTCTAACACTATAGCTTTCAAAATTATTTAGGAGCCCCGATATTTCTCCTCTCTTGGATTTTGGTCACATTTATGGTGAGTGAAAATTAAATCCGTTCTGAAGTTGTTGCTGTTTCAGGTGTTTGTCACAGGCAGATGCAGACTCCCAGATCTGAAAAGCTAACAGTGGAAAAGGAAGCAGTGTGCTGTGTAAATGTTTGTCAGTTTAGCCTGTGCACACAGTTTGAGCTGGAGATTTCTTTACACTGTCTGGGTAAACCACCAGGACAATGGCTTTTTACATCTTGGTGTGGTATCTTTTGGAGGCAGAGGAAGAATATAGATTGCATCATATTTAAAATGAACCTTTTCTACAAAAGGCAGGTAACTAAGGCTGTTGTTTGCTTTAATACTTTAATATTAGTATGGACAACAATGTGCTTTTTCTCTGTAGCTTTTCTACTTCATGCTATGGTTAGATAGTGATTATGTTCTTCAGCATCAAGTCAGTGAGGTTGCTTTCAGTAACCCAAAAGTGACTTCTAGAAGTGGGAACTGAAAATATGAAGTTTTAAAAACATAACTGATGTCTAGACAAGGCCAAAATAGACAAAAATATTTTGAAAGTGTGTTTGCTATAATAAAAAACATCCTCAGATTAATTCTTGAGATAAGTAATAAGTAAAATAAGTATGCTCTTCAAAAATACATAGGTTTTTGAAAACTGTAAGACGTATTACACTGTGATTTTTTGTGTGTGTGTTTTACTGTCTGTGCAGTTCTGGGTACCTTTCAGGTCTATAAAACAACGTCTTCTTTTAAAACTGTTACTGAAAGTAAGATTGCTCACCCCTAATGGTAAAAGGAAATAACAATTTTTTGCGCCCTTAGGCAAAAATGGAAGAGAGGAGGCAGTCAGAGATTTATAGAAGGGCTTGTATATCCAAGATTTGTGACGTTTTGATGGCTAAGCAATCAAGGGAGCAAATGGGTTGATGGTTTCACATTATTATACAAATCTTGAAAATAATACCCTCAAACACACAGAGTCTTTAGTGATTTTAAATTTTATGTGTGGTATTTTTGTAAACTTAAATTATAACATTAGAATATTAGTAAAATACCTTCAAGGTTTTTTTGGTGGCTGTGTTTATTGAAATGGTAGAGTAATATTTGCCTACTCAAGACTTAACTGAAATGTATGGTGACTGGGCAACCGTAGAATATAATGACAGTGTTTCATCTTATTATATTCCTTTAATATCAGTAAAAGCTGGTGCTTCCTATTTTTGAGAGGCATTTGTTAAATGAAGGGTTTGCAAAGTTCTCATTGGGAACTGCTGTGGCCAGAGTTTTCATATTTATGCAAGGAAGTTGGTATTTGTATCTAGATGTTTTAATATGTCTGTTTTGGGGGACCCCTCCTTGAAAATCAGAACCAAGCCTAGTCAATTAACAAGCAAACAAACCTAACTGAAATTTTTGGAGTGGGATGAGTGACAGTGTGCTTCTGTCAATGCATTCATTAACAACAGAAAAAAAATATTTTCAGCAGATGAAAATATAACAACTTGATGTCTGACAGCCTGATTTTACATGCAACCTTTATGTTAAAGCTGTGTGGTATAGACATGTGATTCCTTTTTCCTGATACAACTGCACTGTGGTATAACCACATCATTGGTTTATAGAAACAGGAATTCAGGTGTAGCTCATTTCCCTTCTTGGTAGCACAGTTACTCTGAGCTGAATTTTCTTCTTTCAAATGTAGCTGTTTAACTGCATGGGTCTAGCTAAAACCATACTACACCTGGGTTAAAACAGAGTGGGGAAGCCAGTAGTGTCTTGCCAACTTATTCATAGCTGTGTCGTCTCTGTTCTTCAAGCAGAATTGAAAAGTGCAAACTGCAAATTAGTGTGATCAGTAAAGTGAATAAATAGCACACTGAATTACCAAATCTGTTGAGTGAGAAAGTGCCATATTTGTGACAGTTTTTAAAATGGCTTTCTGTCTTTTACAATATTCCAGCTGAAAGTCACATTCTTCCTAAGGTTTCATGTCATGCTACCTCTGCCACAACATTCCAGCCTTGTGCATGAATAGCACCAAGGGGAGCAGGTCACTCCCATCAGCAGATAGCTGCAATCCTTGTGAGTTGTCAGCCTGCCCACAAGTAGTGGCTGAGTCACGGGGGAGGTGAGTTCCAGGGCTGGATTGCATCCTCCCCTTCCACACTTGCGTTGCTCTGCATGCTGTGCCAGTGCTTGGCTGTAATCACCAAGGTAGTGACTCATCTGTCTGAGAAAGTTGTGGTCCGATGGGATGGTGCAACCTCACCCCAAATGCCAAAAGATGGTTTATTGTTTGAAGACTGATGCACCCAGGATTGTTGAGGACGGCATTAAGATGTCTCAGCTCTCCTGGTCCCTGCTCAGTAGCAAAGCTGAAAGAGAAGATCTTGCTCTGGAGAAGTTCTTACAAAACACTCACTATTCAAGAATTACTTAGACATGTGGTAACTAGTTGGATTTCTCATCTGAAGGCTCCCACGTCTCTTGAGAGATGTGCTGTGGGGCTGCCTCTGTATCATGCATACAAGGAAACAACCTAATGAAAGTGCTGCTTTTCTTCTAGCAGCATTGGTGCCTCCTATTTCTGACCTGTGTAAATGATGCAATATGATACTTTGCTATTCAAAATTCCA